ACGCCAATACTCCGTGAGAGCAGCAACCCTTTCCCCTGGAGAAGCAGCTAACCGAGGGCCGCCCCGAACTGCACGCAGAACCAACCTCCGTGAGAACGGGGCCCAGATCGCAGCTTGGCGCTCCAACAACTGCCGACGACGAAACGAAGAGGGCGGGCGGGGCGAACGAGAGCCTGCAGCAGCGTCAGCAGCAGCACAAATCTCTTTTTCCAGGAGCCTCATATGGACTCCATCCGTCCACATGTGGAACGATTCAGGATGCCGAAGGACGACTTGTGAGCCTCCGATGTCGAGCATGCCAGCTGCGGTAGCCGAGGTCGCCACCAGCCGACGGGCGAGAGGAAGATCTTGACGCCATACTGCTCGAGCACATCCTCGGGCAACAAGCAACGCTGTTTCGTCGCCAGCTGGATGGTGGACAAACATCCAGTCACGAACTTCACGGGCAGCCTCTTTCATCATGTCCTTGAAGTGTTCCTGGTAGACTGCCGCAGAGTACACCGTCTCAGCGCCAGCCCCGTCTTTGAACATGCCCTCAATTCGCTGCCGAGAGAGAGGGCTCTCGAAGATATGGCGAGGAACTGGCTGCTCAGACCTGGGGCGTGCGTGACGTTGACGGAGCACTGTGCGCAAAGCAGCATGGTCCGATATCAAAGAGCGGGATAACTCTTCGGGTTTCCGATGGTGGAGGACTCCGCACACATCTGGCACATCATCCATCCAGGCACCGAGCAGAAGAACCGATCGAGGCAGCTGACCGAGTTGGCGTCCTTTGTGTAGTGCGTCGGTGACTCCGAAGAAATCTCAAGAAACAGTCCCAATGTCCTCAGCCACCGAGCTGCCAAAGCACGGTGATTCCGAGGATCAGAAGCACGGGCTGGTTCAGGACGCTGGAGGATCAGCGCCTCGTCAGGGCCGAAGTTGAGGTCGCCCTGAACGATCGCCAAGAAGTGAAGAGGGTCAGCGGCTGCACGTACCCGCGCAGCGTAGATCTCCGCGCATATCTCGTCGACTTGCATTGAATTGAAACCATGGTTATGGATATTGAAGTGCACCAGCTGAAACCCCTGCCCGACTACGTCGACTCGAAGGACCCTACCTTGCACAACGGCCGAAGCATTGCTGGTAAAATCGAGCTCAGACGCGAGCTTCGGTAAGATAGTGGCGACCCCTCCCGCAGCCGATCCCCCAACATCGGCTGGGCAAAACGAGGCGTGGACCACAGCATCCCTATGCAGACGACAAAGATAGTCTTCGAGTTGCAGACGATCTTGATGAACTTCCTGTAGTGCCAGGATGGACCCAGGAAGGTGAAATCTCTTCAAATAAGACGACTTGAGTCTACTCTTCGCTCCTCGATACTGTAATAGAGCTCGAGCATTCCAAGTAATGAATCGCATCGATTCATTCTCATTCCCGCGGGTCGGAGTGTGAAAGAGCTGCACGAAGCCATCAAAGACACCATGTCGTAGGAGGCGGGGGGGCCGTGATTTCATCCACCACTGCTTGGACGTCGGCACGTGTGAGTTTGAGATCCAGGATGCCCTCTTGGTTGTATTGCACGTTGTACGGGGCGTCATCAGGGTTCGCCTGGATCTTGAGCACGCTGGTCCAGCCGCTCTTGAGGATACCTCGCTCGCGATCAACAGACCACCGTCCACCAAATTTGTCAGCACATGCACCACGGATCCGACGAAGAGCCATCTCCGTCTTGACCTGGCGGGGTGATTTGTCTGGCCCCAAGTGAATGCGCCCGTCTGCAGCGGCGCCCGCGGCCTCGATGTTGAACACTCTCCATTGATCGTTGCGACGAAGGTTGCTGAGCACCTTCGAGACCTTCTTAGATGCGAGGCCAGTGGCCCCGTTGAACTTGATGAGAAACCTGCGGGCAGGTGTCGGAGACGGGCACGAAAGGGTGTACTGGTCAGCATCGAATCCGAGTTCAGAGAGGAACGGCGCCAAAGCCTCGCGTACCTGAAACAATCCAACCATTTTGGTACACATAGCCACGACCACGGCAGGGTCCGTCTGGCGGTCGAAGTTGGCGGGCGGCGAGGGGGCGGCTTCCTGGCGCTTGGCAACATGAAGTCCTTCGCGTAGTTCGGCAATCTCGGCTCGTAATTGGCGTAACTGCTCAGTATGTGAGTCCAGCTCGATGTTGAGAGTGGCGACCTTCGCTGTGACATCATCAATCCCACCAGCCCTTTAGGGCGTAGGTGGTCTAGAGCGTTTCCTCTGCCAACCCCCCTTCTTTCCCTTCGGGGAGGGGTTTACCCCTCCCCTTACCCCTCCCCACTGACCTGGACGGGGCGTTCCGCGACGCGTTGGGACGCCCAAGATGGCCCAAGACTGCTCCAAGAGCGAAAAGGCGAGAAAGCACAAAACATTGATTTTCCTTAGGTTTTGGAAGGATTTTGGCCTCTTGGGGGGGCCCAAGAGGCGATCCGAGGCACTCTAGAGGGGCGAGGCTAATTAAGGCTCCCCCCTTCTTTGATATATATTCCCAACATGGCCCCAAGAGCGCCCCGAAGGCTCCCAAGAGCGCCCCAAGAGCGCCCCAAGAGCGCCCCAAGAGGGCCCCAAGAGGCGCCCAAGATGCCTCCAAGAGGCTCCCAAGAGACTCCCAAGAGGCCCCAAGAGAATCCAATATGGCCCAAGACGGCTCCAAGAGCGAAAAGGCGAGAAAGCAAAAAACAATGATTTTCTGTAGGTTTTGGACGGGTTTTGGCTTCTTGGGGGGGGGCCCAAGAGGCGACTCGAGGCACTCTAGAGGGGCGGGGCTAATTAAAGCTCCACCCTTCTTTGATAGATCTCCTCCAAGATGGCGCCATGAGCACCCCGAAGGCACCCAAGAGCGCCCCAAGAGCGCCCCAAGAGAACCCCAAGAGGCTCCAAGAGACGCCAAGAGGCGCCCAAGAGGCCTCCAAAAGGCTCCCAAGAGACCCCCAAGAGGCCCCAAGAGGCTCCCAAGATGGCCCAAGAAGGCTCCAAGAGCGAAAATGCGAGAAAGCAAAAAACATTGATTTTCCATAGGTTTTGTAAGGATTTTGGCCTCTTGGGGAGCCCAAGAGGCGACTCGAGGCACTCTAGAGGGGCAGCGCTAATTGGGGACCCCCCCTTCTTTGATAGATCTCCTCCAAGATGGCCCCAAGAGCGCCTCGAAGGCTCCCAAGAGCGCCCCAAGAGCGTCCCAAGAGGGCCCCAAGAGGCCCCAAAAGGCTCCCAAGAGGCCTCCAAGAGGCCCCCAAGAGACCCCCAAGAGGCCGCAAGAGGCTCCCCGAGATACGCAAGAGGCCCCCGGGACCGCCAAGAGGCCCCAAAGACGGCCCAAGAGGCCCCCAAGCTCGCCATTGTCCTCCTCCTCCTCCTCTTTTTCTCCCTCCTCCCTCCTCCCCCTCCCCCTCCTCCGCCTCCTCCTTCTCCTCCTCCTCCTCCTCCTTCTCGTCCTCCTCGTCCTCGCCCTCCTCCATCTCCTCCTCCTCATCTTCCTCCTCCTCCTCCTCCTCCTCCTCCTCCCCCTCCTCCTCCTGCTCCTCCTCCTGCTCCTCGTCTTCCTCCTCCTACTCCGACGACGACGACTCCTCCTACATCCTCCCCCTCTTGGGGCGTATGGCGGCTCAACCCGCTCTTTGTTCTTCTGCATGCTCCCCCGTTTCCCTCATCACCTCCACTCCCCTGGGGCTCATTTCTGGACGGGCTGGTGGGGATACGCGAAGCGTCTAGAATTTGTCGTTGCATCTTCCTTGACAGTTCGTCGAGCTGCGGTCGGAAGACAGCCATCGCCTTCTGGTCAAGCTCTGCAGGTTGATCTTCCAATTGCTTCTGAAGTACAGCCAGGGTCCGCAGGATGGAGGCGTTGCTAGATTTGACAGTGTCGCCCACTGTCGAGGCGACAAGACCTTCGAGCTCCGTGCGCAGCTCGCTGAACTGAGAGGCGACACCATCGGCGATGACAGCTTTGATATACTCGTCGGGGTAGTCGTGAGCAGCATGCCCCGCTGGAGCGCGGGAAGGGTCATGACTTGCAGGGGAGCCACCAGCATGCACAGGAGCACCGACAGCAGGGTGATCAGAAGAATGCGCCAGCTGATCCGAGCGCCCGAAGACGAGCGCAGCACCAGCCGCGGCAGCGCGGGAGGCCAGGCCGGCGACACCCTTGCCACTGCCTGAGGAACCCTTGCCATCCTCGGTACGCGGATACTTGGGCTCAGGAGAGCCCTGGACACGATGGCCATCAGCACACTCATCATCGGGGAAGGTGGGCATGTCTTCGATCTCCTGGGCACGACGAGCCAGAGCGGCGGCATCGGGAAGCCCCATTGCGACTGGGACGTTCGATCGCACAGGAACGGGAAAGGCCTCCGTTTACCCGTGGGGGCGAGCGTCAGTACGATGAACAATCTCTGCCAGACCTCCAAGGGTCTTGTCTGCCGCGGACTAGCGGTATCCACTTGTTCCCCTGAGGAACTATGCATCTTGAGCCAAAATGGCTACGGAGGAGGAGGAGGAGCAGGAGGAGGTGGAGGAAGAAAATGAGGAGGATGGGCAATTTGAGGTGCCCGTCCGCCTCGCTCAACGGACCGCCAACACGCCCGCCTCCAGGAGCAGCGCGCACCATGCGCACGTGGGCAATGAAATGGGAAAAGGAGTGGGCGTCTCAGCTCGCCCTCGTCAGAAATGACGCCCCCGCCCCTCGGGGGAGCTCGTCGGCCGGTCGGGCTCGGCAGGCGGCCAGACCCCTCCCCCCCCCCGAGTCTGGACCCCTGCAGTGTCCGGCCGTGGCACGGCGGCCAAGACCCCCGCGCCTCCCGCAGGGGCGCCCAGAAGAGAGAGAGAGAGAGAGAGAGAAAGACAAAGCAAGCAAACAAACAGAAGGTAGAAAAAGAGACGCCGACCCGCTGTTTTGCACGCGCCTGCCTCCCACCAACGCACCACTCCTTCCCCAATGACCTGTCCACCATCGCGGGCCCGCCGCCCGGCGACGAGCGCGCGCGAGAGCCTCACAAGCCCAGCGAGGTGAAGGACGGGATCTCGCCCATGCGACCGTCGTTCGACACCCAGCGCTTCTCCTGGCGCGCCCGCGCGTTCCCAGGAGCCAGAGATATGTTGTTTTCTGCTAGGTACGGGGTCCTCGGAGGGTCCTGAGCCTCTCCCCAGGCCGCGTTTTGTGGACAACCCCAGGGTCCAGCGAGGCCCCACAACATATGCACATCTGCAAATGTACTCCCTCCACGGCTCCGCGTGCACGAGTGACCGCCTTCAAGCGCAGGCCAGCGGAAGCTGAATGCGTACGCGCACGGCTGCTGCTGGCACCCGGCACGTTGCTGTGCTTAGCGCAACGAGCAACAAAACGTCCTGTCACCGAGGTAAGGCAACCGACACCCAGTGCGGAACCCCCCCTGGCGCGCGGAGCACGCCAAGGGCGGGGCAGGTGGCGCCCGCAGGGAGCCCCGGCTCCGATCCAAGAAATGCGCACGAAGCTCCGAATGTGTGTTATGCAAAGTTTGTTCTTCGACTTGTAGCTCCCTTTACAGCGGACAGAGATGACGTGGTGGAGGAGATCCGTTCCCTTGTACGGGACTACTCGCGACCCTGCGGGGGCTCGACCCAGGGAGCGGCTCGACGCCCCATCCCCCTTCTGCGTATTTGACAAAGTCGTTCCCACGCAAGTTTCCATGATGCTTGAACTAGGCCACTGGGCCTCTTCAGATGTACTGGTGCAAGCGTGAATATGAAGCCAACTTTCTCTCTCTCCCTCTTGCTTGACGCCCTCCACCCAGCCCCCCAAGAACATAGAGTCGGGCGCGGAGACCACATTCGATTGAACTCCAACGCAACGCGGGCGTCTTGTCGATCGAAGAAGAGCATGGGGAACAACTGCAGGAGCCGTCACCAGAGAGTCCCATTTGCGGCAGATGGCTGCCGCTCTCCCTCTCGATGATCCTCAGACGGTGTTAGTGGCAACTTGCGCAAATACACCGAAGCCCTTCAATACGACGCAGGCGGTGAAATGAGTGCCAACACAAACTGCATGCACGTTGGGTTAACGCACGGCCTGAGGATCATCCGACCCTCACCCCCATGATGCTGGGACCAAGACTCACATAGTGCATGAGAGGCAATGCAGCGCTCTCCTTCTCGTTCAGCTCGACACCCAGACTGTCTCTCAACGCCTTCGGGCAGGGATGGCGCGCTCCCTCTCTTTTCGACACCGCACACTGCGACACCGAATCTACAAGGCGTAACGGGGGAACCGAAGCGCTGAAGCGAGTAACGATTGCACCATAGCGGCCCCGATGCCGCCCCGCCATCACAACGCGTACAGTCTAAGTCTTGCCGTCAGGAATGAGGGCCGTTTGGGGACCCAATTGCATCTGAATGTATAATGAACGCACGTGGCACAAGAACAATGACATGGACATGGGAAACCCTGAGCCCTTTGCAAAGCCAAATACGTTCCTAATCCAACGTGTCCGCTGAGAGGGCTGTCTCTCTGAGCGCCTGGGGGCTCATTGACCAGGTAGTCGATACACACTGGGTGAGGGCTGAGCCCTCGGGTAGCTGGCGTCCGTACGAGATCACTGCTTTAGCTAAGCTGCGGTCTTCATGGGGCTGCAGTCTTCAAAGGGAGGGCGCTCGCGAGACTACGATAAGTGTTGAAGCATGGCGCCATCCAAGCAAGCTCCCGACGTGCGACTCGCGTCGAAACATGCTCATGCCCGAGTGGGTTCCTCCTCAGATGCTCCTGGGCACCAGCTGAAACAGGAATCACCGAGCATGCTGCAAGGAATGAAGGCGATATCAGAAGCCTCCTAACTTGGGTCCGACTAGATGGGGTCGGAGGGCCGCGCCGCATCGCAGATGCATAGGCGACGTCGGCGGTGCATCGGCGACGCCAGCGCCAAACAAATCGGGCTCCGCATCGAGCCGCATCGCCGACGCATCGGTGATGCGGCGCGATCCTCCGACCACATCTGTTTGGACCCCGCTCTGGAGGCTCGAAGGGGCGCCGAAAACCAAAGAAGCGCCGAACAACAAAAAGAGACGCCGAAAACCACAAGTACACCGAAAACCTACGGGGCGCCGAAAACCAAAGAAGAAGAGTAGCTTCGAAGCACCCCCTTCAGCCAGGGCCCTCCAGCTGGAAAAACCAACAAAGGGGGGGGGTAGCTTCGGAAGCACCCCCGCTTTGGAAAGGAGAGCCCGGGCTTACCCCAGGAGCTGAAAAGGAGGGGAGAGGGGGTCGCTTCCACGCGCCCCCCCTCTTTAGCAAGGGATCCCCAGCTACAATATCCAACCAAAAGGAGGGGGGGTACAGTAGCTTCGGAAGCCCCCCCCTTTGAAAGGGGAACCCGGGCTGACCTGGGGCTCGCTCCGAATTTTCAACACAAGGACAGGAGCGGGGGGTAGCTTCGGAAGCCCGCCCCCCCTTTTCCAAGGGAGGGGGGGTAGCTTCAAGCTGGGCCCCCCCTTCTGGTGAGACGTGTGCTACGTCCTTCGAAAACCTCTTCCTCTCCAGGAGGTTTACCTTCCCCCCGACCCCCTCCCTGGTTGTCTCTCGGGGGGGGTGCGCGGGGCGTCCGTTCGTCCAAGATAGCCTCGACGGGAAAACCCGGATCACTGATTGTGCCAAGGTTTTGGACCCAGTTTGGCGATTTTAACGACCCCAGGGGAGGGACCAACATCTAGGACCCCAAACCCTTTTGATCGATGGCCTCCAAGATAGCCCACAGAGGCCCTCCAAGGCTCTGTGGACCAGCAAACGGGCTCCAAGAGGGCTTCAGAGGGTCTCAAGATCGCCCAAAACGCCCCAAGATGGCTCCAAAGAGCCCCAAGATGGCTCCAAAGAGGGTTTGCAAGATGACACAAGATAGCTGACGATCGTTCACGACAGTTTCCTGCATACCCCCAAGAGGCCCGACGAGGGCCACAAGACGGTTCCAAGTGCTCCCGAGGCCCCCTCAGGACTCCCCCAAGAGACCCAAATCCGTGAAAAAGCAATGACAAATCAATGATGCTTGACTTCTCGCCTCGCCTTTTCGCTGCCGATACGCCTGTGAAGACTCAAGATGGCCCAAGAGAGGCCCAAGAGGAGCCCAAGAGGTGCCCAAGACGCCCCCCCCCAGACGGCCCCAAGAGCGCCCAAGAGCGGCCAAAGAGCGCCTCAGTAGGGCCCCAAGAGGCGATGTTGATGGCCCCAGGGGGGGCATCAAACGTTACATCCTCTGTGTTCACCGACGCCCTCCACGATAGCCCCAAGAGGCCCTCTTGGGCTCCCAACAGCCCCAAGAGAGCCCAAGGCGGGCCCCAAGACCACCCGAAAGAGCCCCAAGAAATCCCCAATATCCCCCAATAGAGTCCTAAGAGGGCTCCAAGAGGCAATTCTGAGGGCTCTGTTCTCGTCCTCGTTGTCCTCCTCCCCCTCCTCCTTCTCCTCCTTCTCCTCCTGCTCCTCCTCTCCTCCTCCTCCTCCCCCTCCTCCTCCTCGTCATCGTCCTTGCCCGCATCGTCTTCCTTTTCCTATTCCTCCTCTTCCTCGTCGTCGTGGTCACCGTCGTCCTCGTCTTCTTCTTCCACATCCTCCTCCTCCTCCTCCTGTTCCTCCTTCCCTCGCCCACACGCGGGCCCCAGAGATGGCCCGAAGAGGCCCTCCAAGGGCATCCCATTGCTCCCAGAGATCGTTCTGTTCACCTTGGTTGCCTGCTCAATTTCACTATACGTGTCTCTTCGTCCATTTTCCGCTTGTCCAGTCAGCTCTCATGGACAGGGTTATGGCCTGCTTGGGATGCTATAGTGGTTCGCGGGCGCACGAAGCAGAGTCGAACGCCGAGCAAGCTAGGGCGGGCCGCGCCACTAGCGAAGGAAAAAACAGAGAGGCGAGCAACGCCAGGCTCAGGGCGGGGCTGGGCTCAGCTCTGTCAAAATGGTCTTCTGGGGATGCGCGAAGCGTATATAATGAAATGTGGCTGAGCGAATCAGCTCAATAAGCTGATTGTTCAGTCTCCCCCTCGCCCCTTACCCTTATACCCCGTGTCCTCTGCCGAAGGCGTCAATGCATTGAGGAGAGCGCCCAGCAGCGGGGCCGAAACCAGCTGCATGCATCAGATGTCGCACTGCGCCCCCTTCTCCTCATCCCCGCGTTTCGTCGGAAACGAAACAATATCGGCCCGCGTGCGTGCGTTTGGCCCTCCCGCGGCCCCCCCGGAGCCGCGCAGCAAACGTTCCGTCTGGCGAAGGACCCCTGGCCTCCAGGAACCGAGGAAGACGTCCGAGCACGCCAGCCCTTCGGTCTAGCATGTCCCCCTACAGGCGGAGTTTAGACGAAACATTAAAAAAAAAGCCAAAATGTTCAACAATGGTCAACACACATCTCAACACATCGTCCCCTGACTATTCATGTGTTCTATGTTTGTCCCCCCTGTAGAGGGACAGGCCCGACTTGGGCCTGCCCAGAGACCCGATGTAATGCTGCAGTTCGATAACTATACAAGGCCCCCCCGGGTGTCCCGACCCTGGCCTTAGGTCGAGCATGTCCCCCTACAGGGGGATGTGGGGCGAGTTGTTTATATATATATATATATATATGTATACACACAAATGCCCCAAATAGCAAATTACCCCAGTGCGACCCTACCTAGGAGTTGGAGCCCCTAGGAAAGCAGCATTAGTAGTAACGGTAAACGCCGTCCTCTTCCTTCTCCTCATCGTCGTAGTTGCCTTTGCTTTTGCTTGTTGATGCTTTTGCTTGGTTTTGTTGTTGCTTTGCCTTCGCGCACACACACACACACACGCATGTGTTTGCACTCGCTCACCGGGTGGGCTCTCTGATCGTACTGTTGCACAGTGCTTTTGCTTTGCCTTTCCTTTGCTTTTGGTTTTGCGTTGCGTTGCTTTGCTTTGCGTTGCTTGTGCTTTGCTTTGCTGTTGCTGATGTTGTGTTGCCTTTGCGTTGCTGCTATGCTATGCTATGCTATGCGATGCTGCACTTTGCTATGCTATGCTATGCTATGCTATGCTATGCTATGCTATGCTATGCTATGCTGCGCTATACGATGCTACGATATGCTGTGCTATGCTGCGCTATGTTGCGCTATGCTATGCTATGCCATGCTATGCTATGCTATGCTATGCTGCGCTATGCTATGCTATGCTGGGCTACGATATGCAAAGCTAAGCTAAGCTACAGCTAAGCGAAGCTAAGATGAAGCTAAGCTAAGCTAAGCTAAGCTAAGCTAAGATGAGATACGCAAAGCTAAGGTAAGGGGACGTAACTGGGGGAACCGCGGGGCGGATACTTGGGGAACCGCCCGGGGCGCTTTCCACTGCCCGGCCCTTTAAGCCCAGAGAGTAAGAATCCTTCTACGCAGAGCCTAGGAAGGGAACACATGCCCTGAAAGTCGTCCCCATACTATTTTTTAACTAGATTTGGATACTCCTCCTGTAGAGGGACATGCCCGACTTAACCCTGGCCCCATGCGCAGGCCTTTCGGGCGCCGAGCCCTCGCCTCATGGCCCCGGGGCGCCCAGGCGGTATGGCACACACGAGCGCCCGTCACCTGGCACACACGAGCGCGCGCGTCGCCCGTGGGGCGCCGACGCGCACGTCTCTGGGGTCCGACACCTCGAGCACATTGAAAGCCTCGTTAAAAGTCACGACCGAGGCCCCCGGTGATGATCAGCAGGAGGAGCAGGATGAGAAGGAGGAGGATGAGGATGAGGATGATGATGATGCTGATGTTGATGATGATGATGATGCTGCTGATGATGATGCTGATGCTGCTGATGATGAAGATAATGATGATGATGCGGATGATGATTTTTATTTCCCAATCAGAGATTGCCTCTGTAGGAAGACCCTAGACCTCATCTCTCTGAGCCATCTTCCGAGCGAGGTCGATCTGTGAGGACCCCAGGACACGGAGCCGAACGAAAACGCCGGGCCTGAAAACTTTCGTCGCCGGGATCCCAGGGATGGTCGGAGCATGTGTCTCGGCGGCGCGCCTGGGGGATAAGTGAGAGGGGGCGGGCCTTCTGCGAAGGCTCGAAGTTCCCCGGTCTTCTGGGAAGTTCTCAAAGCCTTCCCCAAGGGCACGAAACACTTCTCAGAAGGCGCGAGGGCTTCGGAGAAGCCCTCGCTCTTTCCCTCTTCTCCCCCTCGCTCGCCGCCGACTGCCTAGGTGATGCCTAGGGCCTGGGGGCGCTGACGACGGCGAGGCGCTCAGGGATGCAGGCGCGTCGTCTCCGCGCGCCCCTGCCGCAGGGCGGCGGGGGCGGCGGGGCGTGCGCGCGTTCCGCAGCATGTCGGCGCTGCCGTAGTCCTGGCGGCGCCCGCGACAAGAGGCCGGGAGAACGGGAAGGCAAGAGACGGGGCGGGGGAGGCCCAGGAGGGGTGCGCGGGCCCCCGAAACCCAGGCGGGGCTGGCGGGGCTCCCGCTCAAGGTACAATGCGCCGACGACGAGGGGCAAAACGCAGCTCCGGGCCCCGGAGGAGGCAGGCAGCCGGCAAGGGCGCCGAAGGCGACCTCCACGCCTCCCCGGGGACACGGGCGGTGCAGCTCTAAGTGCACACTGGGGCAGTTCCGCCGGAGCTCGGGCCCTGGACCCCGACGGATCGAGCTGGCGGCTCGACAACTGCTGCAGGAGGCTGGGGGCCAAAGGGGCTCTGCATCGCGACTTCTCGCGATGCTGTTTGTTCTTCGCGCCGCCGGGCCCCAGGGGGGGCCTCCAGGCGTCTTGAGAAGGGCACCGGGGCCGAACCGATGTTCCACACTGTCGGGCCATCTGGACTCGTTATGGTCGCGCCCCAGAACAACACCAAGGAACAATTCTGGGCGAGGGACTGGCCCCAGGTGGGAACCTAATCGTGCGCCCAGATCCTTCGTCCCTAGGGCTGGCGGACTTAAGGTGAAAACGCTGTTATATATAGGTTTTTCGGGGCTTCGGCTAGCTCAAAATCATTGGTATTGCTGATGTGGCATCCAGCTGATTAAGATGTTTTAACAAATGTCGAGGTGTAGAAAACAACGTTTATTACGTTTCTGGTGTGACGACGCCATCAAAAACATACACACACATAATGACGAAACTGAACCCAAACATATGAATATAGCAGCTGCACGTTCCCTAAATATTGTCAATAGGCTAGGTACGGGCAGCCTTGCGCGTCTTGCAACAAGCAAACCTGGCACCGCGTGCTCTAGGCATTTAAGGTTGCAGGGTGAGCGCGCGCCCTTTTTCAACGTACCCCTCACGAGGATCGTGCCCCACCGACGGTCTCAGTGGACGCCTTCAACCATAGATACCTTCGCACTCTCCAGGGGGGTCGTGGCCCACTAGGGGAATGAAGTCAGAACGGGGGCATCATCCTATCGTCGCGTCGAAGCCGCTTTTGCTCGAGATGGAATCGCGAGTGTACGATGCTGCACTGCAATCGATCGCACGTCTGGGCTGTGCGCCGCCAGATGCCTCGGGACATCCATTCTGCACGTTCAGACCAGCAGACGCTGAATCGATTATCGTGAGCACTGTTCTTGCATATGCTGGTTCGCTGAATAGTACAGATGAGCGGGCTCTCCGACAAACTATTTCTCAGCACGTGCAGGAGAGATCGAATGGAGATGATTTCACTGTGTTTGGTATTTTGGCTATTTTGAAGATCATGTGTATTAACACGCCGTCTGAACAGACCTTGTTGGACATTGATCGGAAAGTGTGGATGGACAAGCAACGAGATCAGAACATAGGAGCAGCAGCACCCGTATTGGAACGGCCACGCAGGGATTTATGGGGTCGGGGAGGTCGGGGCCGTGCTCCAGCCGATGCAGCGCCGACAGAGCCCCAGGAAGTCCAGGAAGAGCGAACTGTCTCCAGGCTTGCTCACGAGGGGCTCCGCGCCAGGCTGGTCAAAATCTCATCAGAGAAAAAGAACTTTCGCAGAAAAGCGGCATACTGGAGAAAGAAGGCTCCCTGGGACCTCCCCTTCGCAATGTCATCACCCCCTCCGTCTACCAGGACCCTGAGGAGGAAGGCAGGGGGGGGCGAGGAAAAGGGGGGGAGGAGAGAGAGAATGCGAAGAACGATCCGCGCAGTGAGCACGATGACTCAGGTAAGGAAATGACGAGGAGGATGAGTAGGATAATGAAGAGGCGGAGGAGGAGGGAGATGAGGAGGAAAGAGAGAGAGAGAGAGAGAGAGAGAGAGAGAGCGTAATGAAGGACAGGATTGAGGATACGACGATCAGATCATGTGAGGGCCCGCGCAGAGGAGGGGCAGGGTGGGGGAATCGCGGCGAGTGAGGGGAGAGGAGGTGCCACGTGCAGGGCGCGGCAGTCAACACGAGGAGGATGGCGGAGAATCACAACGAACAGAACGACTGATGATGAGGAGGAGGAGGAGGAGGAGGAGGAGGAGGGAGGTTGAGAGGATGAAGGGGGTGATGACGATGTTTTAGGACACCACGCACCAAGTAGTAACGCATCGTAAGAGGGGTCCCATGGTCCGCCATGCAATTTGCCATCCATCGGACGCGAGGCCAAGTGATCCTTATCCGATTCTAGTTTGCCCATGAACCCATTGACCCCAGAGGCTACCGTTCTCGAACAGAAGATGAATGAAGACAAGCAGGCTGTCATTGACAAATACCATTACCTTGTTGTGCCGAAAAAAAAGAGAGAAAGACGACCACTCGCGGTATATTTTCTTGGCGTGGCGGATACAAGATGGCGTTCCGACGGCTGCATGGCCACGCTGCGTCGACAGCCATAACTGCTGCTCTGGGAATCAATGTGTCAGATCCAGCTGTGACAAGATGGGAAAACGCTCTCGGCAGAAACTTACAAATGCAACAACAGTCATGGTATCTTGAGCAGGAAGCTAGACTTGCACGAGAGCACGCATCAGGTGTCAGCAGTGGGCCCAATTTTTCTTGGAGCATCACGTCTGTCCGAGGGGATGCCACGAACACAGCTGTTCAACACTTCAAGGCGCACACGTGTGAGATCGTGTCGCAATATTCGTTCTTGCAATTCGACAGAGATGGCCTTCCCCGTACATCCTTAATGAAAGGCTGGGCTGATCTAGCGAAAGTTCCCATTAGCAACACTGCTCGAACGCAGGACCTGATTTACAGCAAGCAGTTGGCTAGCATCGGAGCGCCTGACTGGATCAGCAGAGTTTCGGCTGCCAGCAAATATCATTCGGAAGATGGAGATGGAGGCATCTCTGCGCGATTCCACATAGCTGTATTTTTTTTCGGATCGGACCAGGGGCCAGATCAGGTCGGTTCAGATAAATTGTTGTCGGGGGTTATCAACTATGAGCTTTTGGTTTGGAAGTTTCGGAATTACTGCTTCCTGCATTGCGTGCACTTGATGGTGAAGACTCAGTTGGTTGCGTTGGGGAAGTATTGGGGCACGCTCGCCAAGATCAGACATACAGTCAGAAACAACATTAAAAAACTGAGGGGGTACCTGGCTGATCGAAATGAGGAAGGGAAACTCAAGAGATCCCCTCAAAAGCCTCTCCGGGGTCGGTGGGGGTCCGTGACCATATGTGAACTTGATGTGATGAATCTTGGACAGGACAGGCTCGTGTTTTTACTTGCAAAGCTTCTGGGTGAGAAGCCTGGGTACAAGGATGCTCCCCACCTAGAGCCAGAAGTAGACGAAGCTGAATCCCATGGGCAGCAGGTTACACTTTCCCCTCTTCCTCCCTCTCCCACTCGCTTCCTCTGAATATATGTTCCCTCTCTATCTTTCTTGTATTCAGGGTCACCGGTACTTGAGGGAAGCACTGGTTGCGGTGCAGTCCGACAACTTTTGGTGCACGCTCGAGATTGCCCACACTTCTCGAAAGCCTGCAGACCACATCAGGTTCTGGCTGCAGAAAGTCATCGGAGCGAAGACGCCTGACATTGGCAGGAAGTGCTCGTGCTGCCACAGGTTCCCAGGTGATGTCACATCGTGTCCTTATCATGTTCGGCTGCCTGTAGGAAATAACTGTCTACCCCAGGGATTATTTCATCAGCGGCCAGGTCGTAGGAGTTTATGTCGTGATTCGTGTTCTGAGCTCGTGCCTGTGCCTGTGCCTAGATGTGCGCATTGTCTTGTCGGTTTCAGCCCCAGGGGACCCATGGTGTTAATTTGGAGCTCATGCAGATAGATATACATGTCCATATCCATAGCATGCATGCAACACATAGCTCAAGTTCGTAGGTCTCACACAAACACAATACATAACACACGCTCGTAAATCAATACTAATACGTATCTCGAGGTTAGCATCGTCATTAACCGCAGCAGTTCGGCCGCCAGTTGTCACCTTCGTTTGCATCCAGAGCTCCATTATCATGAACGAGTGGTGTCAAGTGGTTAACGGTGAGTGGCCGAGATTGCTTCGCGCAGCGAACGAGCACCATGCCATGTATTTCAGCAACGCAGCGCTCCACTCTTTGGGCATGGCGTGTGATTATTTTAGGCGGCTTCACTCGCAAACTGATGCCTGGCCTCTTTTGCTCGCGCACTTTGTGTTCTCACCTCCGGGCAAGCATTGTAAGTTGAGGCAAGATGTGGCAACTCGTATGCTGGGTTTGGGGACCATGGAGGATCTCGCCACGATCGATTGCACAACCCTGAAGATATTACACTTGTTCCGCAACGAGATCAAACAATCATGTAACGATGGGCTTCTTGATGAACATGTGTGGGGCCTACTGCATAGCATATTTAACCTATGGTCGTTGGAAACACAAGAGATCGAAGGGATCAACAGCACGATAAAACACATAATGAAAATTGCACCGTTTACTGGGTGGGAACTTCTATCTACTCGCACAATGGTCCGTAAGTGGTTGAAGTGGTATGGCGAAACCTCTGATGAGTACGAAGACGAATTCCTGAATCGATGCATCAAACACCATAAGGCAACATGCGATGCAAGGGAGAAGGAGAGGCTCAAACCAGATGGCACTGGAAGATTCGATGTCGTCGTTGACCCAGGCCCATCTGAGCCAGCAGCCCCGCCAATGGCGCGGCCTCCATGGTACCCTATTGTGCCAAGCTGTGCATCGAGGCGACCTGCTACTCGACTTGTGACAAAGCTCAGGTCCACATGGCCTGCAGATTGGATTCCGACGAGCATGTGTGCTTTGAGAATATCGTCATTTATCCCGCGTGGCACAGCAACGGTGGAGGGTTGTTACATCCTGTGCCATAAGTATCGCAGTAGCATGTGGTTGGCGACTATGCAATCGAACGGTGACGGCGAGCTGGCGGTGATAACCCCGTTACAATTTTCATCGCTACTGGACTGCATGGCTGCC